GGGACAGCCCCGCAGGGGGCCAGGGAGGCTGGGACAGGGATGGGGCAGGTCCCCCACCTGGGAGAAGACGTTGGCCGCGTAGGCGGCGGCCGTGGTCAGGGAGGTGAAGAAGGTGGCCTTGCCGGCCGTCTGGATGGTGTGGACCATGCGCAGCTGCGGGTCCTCCAGGTGGGTGGCCTGGCGGTAGGTGTTGATGAACACAAAGACGTCGTCCACACCTGAGGAGGGCGTCCAGCTGCAGGGCAGGCCCAGGCACCGGCAGCCCCAGCAGCTCCCAGAGCCAGGCCCCAGGGCGGTCTTCTCAGCTTGCAGTGGGCAACGGCCCACTCGATGCGCCCACCCGGTCCTCCAGATCTCCGCCTCCGTCCCTCGCTTCCAGGGCTCCCGCCAGCCTCGCCTCTTTCTGCCCAGCACCTGCCACCATCCGCCGCCCCTCATATTCTAACCCCCACTTCAGGGCCCTGGGGTCGGGAGGGGGCTTAGAGGCCCCGTGGAGGCCAGGCCTGCCGTCCAGGGAGAAGGCCTTGGTGGGGAAGGGACCGAGTTCCCAAGGCCACTCACCAATGCCCACGACCACGAAGGCTGCCACCCCGTTGAGGATGCCCAGGTACTGAACGCCAAAGACCACGTGGTACAGGAAGAGCGCCACCAGGCAGCTGAGGCCGATGCTGGCGATCCCGAAGAAGGACAGGAACACTGGGCGGGCAGGGGGCACACAGGTGAGAGGGACCCTCGCAGAACACGAGCCCTGCTGGCGTCCCTGGCCTGCGCTGCGTCCTGCCTCTGGCCCTCCTCCCTGGATGCCCTCACCGCCATCTGCTCCCAACAGTCTCAGTGCTCTACGCCCAAGGGTGACTTTGGGTGGCGCTGGGTGAGAGGCTGCAGTGCCTGGGGAAGCCACCCGCACAGGCCGCGAGCTGGGGACTAGTCTTTGCAGAGCTTGTCTCAAGTACTCGCAGCGGGTCATGGGTGTCACGTCCATGGCGTCTGTGACCACAGGAGCCCAGGCTGGGTGGAGAAGGCCCGGTGCCTGTCGGGCGCCCCACCGCCCAGGCATGCAGCGGGGGCCCAACAACACCACGGCGTGCATGACCACGCACCTCCTCCACCTCCGAGGGCAATTCCCTCCCCTGTCCACTTGGCGGACAGCAGTAGGCAGGAGCTGGTGAGCATAACAGCAGTAGGCAGGAGCTGGTGAGCATTGGAGGTGGCCGTAGTAAAGGGGGACAGGGACAAAGGGCAGCTGACTTGGGACAGAAACAGCCTGCAGAATGACCCATGGCCAAGCCCAACACCCCGGACTCCCCAGCACAAGGCTCCCAAGGAGACAGCAGGGGCAAACCCTAACTGCACGACGTCCAGGGCCGGGCCCTCTGCGCCACCTGACCTGTCTCTGGACCTCGGCTGCCTGCCCGGGGTGGCAGGTGGCTTCTGAGTCGGGCCCTGGATTCAAGGCCACCCTGGGACCCTTGAGAAGCTCTGGCCAGCAGCACCCTGGGGAGAGGGCGGCCCGGGGAGGCGCCTACCTGAGCAGGAGGTGAGGACGTAGACCAGGGCGGCTATGCAGCTGCTGCTGATGAAGGCCAGCAGCATGTCGTTGTTGAAGGTCCTGCGCACCTCGTAGTCAAAGAGGTCCGTGCCCCCGTAGAGCACCTGGACTTTGCTGGGGGAAGGACACGAGAGGACAGATGGGAGGGGATCCAACGTGGTGTGAACCCCAGAAGGACCAGGAGCCGCCGCGTTCTGGGCTTCACCTGGGCTGCACATGGGAATCGCCTGGGGCTTCCAGACTCCCTGCCGTCCAGGCCAGATGCCAAAGAGGTTTGTGAGCTGAGCCGCCAGCATCTGCTAAAGTCTCCCTGCGACTCAGGCATGGCCCAGGCTGGGGACCTCTGTCTACACAGCTGATCACCAACTAGATAGATCCAGATCCGGGGCCACCTTCCAGTCCCCAATCGTCCATAGCAAAGCTGACCCTGAAACGGGCCGCTGGACACTGGGTTTCACACGGCTGTGCAGCGTGTGTTTAACCCATTTCTAATAAGGAAAACCAGGCTGGGCCAACTGTGCTCCAGAGCATCACCATCAGTGACGTCTGTCTGGCCAGGAAGGACAGCGGATTCAAGACAACAAGACCCTGAGGAAACACGCACAGCCAGACTGTGGACCTCAGGCAGCACAGGTGTGACCCCGGGAGACAGGGGACAGTGGTTGCCCTGGTTTGCTGTCCTCAGCGGCCTAATTCATGTTGACTGAAAAAATTACAGACTTGATGAAAACTCTCGGATCCAAGAAATTTGAGCAATAGACGCCACAAACCAAAAACTCAGATAAAAGTGCAACACGGCACATCATAACCCAACCGCTCAACAACACGGACCAGGAGAAAATTCAAAAAGCACTTGAGAAAAAAGACATGTCACATTCAGAGGAACAAAGATGAGGGTGACAGCCAGCTCCTCACTGGAAACAATACACTCAGAAACAAGTGCGTCAACATCCCTTCCACACTGGGGACACTCCCAGCCCGGGATTCTTTATCCTGCAGGAAATCTATTTCAAAACCAAGGCAAATAAAGACTTTCAGGTGCTCCAAAGATGAAATGGATCTCAGCGCACCCACCCTTCAGAGATGTGAAAGGAGGCTTTAGGCAGGCACACGACAGCGTAAGGAATGTGGGCTACACGAGGAACAAAGGCACCCCAAACGGAAATAACGTGAATGGAAACATGAAGTTTTCTTTTTTAAAAAAGTATTTTTTAAAAATATAATAAATAAAGTTCCAGTTGTTGATGGACCTTTATTTAATTTGTTTATTTATATGAGGTGCTAGGAATCGAACCCCTGCCTCACACATGGGAGGCAAGCACTCTACCTCTGAGCTACAACTCCAGCCCCTGAAATTTTCTTACTGTTTACTCAAGTACCTTTAAAAGATTACTGGCCACTTCTGAGATCACAAGAGAGTGTGAGATTTGTGATATAAGTAACACGTGTGATGACGAGCATGAAGACTAGGAGGGGTGACGGCAGCATATTATCATCATGCGTGATGTTCAGTGTGATGTGGTGCAACAGCACTTGAAGGTACACTGTGATAAGTGAAAGAGGGAGACTATGAATCCTGAAGCAACCACTAAAAGAAGAGTTATGGCTAAAAAGCCAACCAAGGAGATTAAACAGAAACATGGGAAATACTTAGTTTACCCCAAAGAGAAGAAAAGAAAAACAGAGAACCAATGGACAGTTAGGAAAAAATAAGACAGACATAGGTAAATCCAGATCAATAACTGCATTAACTGTAAGTGGATAAACACATCAATTAAAAGGCACAGACTGACAGGCAGATTTTTTAAAGTAAAGATCAGGTTCCATACAAAAAAAAAATCTACTTTCAATATAAAGATAAACATGTTAAAGCAAAGGGACAGGAAAAAATATACAAGGTTAACATGAACTAAAAGAAGGTTGAAGTGTTTATATTAATAACAAATGAAGTGAATTTCAGAGGAAAGAACATTATTAGGGATAAAGAAGGATAATTTTAAAATGAAGATAAGTCAATTCATTTAGAGAATACAATAATCCTACATGTTTCTGTATCTAATAACAGACCTTTAAATACATGAAACAAAAATTCAAAGCTATGAAAAAAGAAATAGATGAATCCACAATTATAGCTGAATACTCCAATATTCCTCTTATAATAATTGCTGGAACAATTAGAAAACCAGTGAGGATTCAGGAGACTTGAACAACACAATCAGCCAACTTGACCTCATTGTCATACACAGAATACTTCATCCAATGATGGAAGAATACATTCTTTTCAAGTGCAAAGGGACCATTTAACAAGACAGATCTTAGAACAGGCCATAAAACAAGAGTCCACAAATATGAAAGGACATGAGTCATACAGAGTATGTTCTCTGACTACAATAGAATTAAATAGAAAAGAGGAATTTGTAAACTAAATAACATATAACACATGGGTCAAACAGAGATCAAGAGGGAAAACAGAAAGTATTTTTAACTGAAATGAAAATTAAAATCAAAATACCAAAATTTGTGGGATATACTAAAATAGTAGTATTTAGGAAAAACTTTATAGCACTAAACAAGTATAGCATAAAAGGAGCCACTAATTGACCCAGTTATCCCACTTCTTGGTATATACCCAAAGGACTTAAAATTGGCATACTATAGTGACACAGCCACATCAATGTTCATAACAGCTCAATTCACAATAGCTAAGCTATGAAACCATAGCTTAGGTGACCTTCAACAGATAAAGGGATAAAGAAAATGTGATTTTATATATATATATATATATATATAAAATCACATATATATATATACACACACACACATACATATATACACATATACACACACATACATATATATATCACACATTATACACACATACACAATGGAATATTACTCAGCCATAAAGAAAAATGAAATTATGGCATTTGCCAGTAAATGGATGAAACTGGAGATTATCATGCTAAGTGAAATAAGCCAATCCCTCAAAACCAAAAGCTGAATGTTCTGGTATATGGGTGTTAACCCACAATGGTTGGGGGGCGGTTGGAGTTCACTGGATCAGACAAAGAGGAATGAAGGGAAGGGAGAGGGGATGGGGACAGGAACGAGAGTAGAATGAATCAGACATAACTTTCCTATGTTCATATATGAATATATAACCGTGTAACTCCATATAAGGTACAAACCACAAGAATGGGAAGTTACACGCCACGTATGCCAAAATACATTCTACTGTTACATGCATCAAAAGAATAAAAAAAGGAAAATAAGAGAAGTTTCAATCAATGACCTCAACTCTATTTTGAAACAGTAGAACAAGAAAAAATTAAATGTAAAGTAAGCAGAAGAAAGGAAATAATAAAGATCTAATCATAAATCAATAAAATAGAAAAACAGGAAAAAAGAGCAAATCAATTTTAAAAAAGATAGTTCTTTGAGAAAGTCAATAAAATTGATTAGCCTCTAGCTAGATAGATTGTGGAAAAAGAGAAAAAACACACATGAAAGAGGCAGTTACACTTCCTATATTATTAAGAAGATAACAAAGAAATGTTAGGAATCACTTTATACCATCAAATTTGCAAATATAAATGAAATGGACATATTTCATGAAGGGCTCAAATCACCAAAGCTCACACACAAAAACATTATCTTGACAGTCTTATATTTTTAAAAACTTTATTTGTGTTTTAAAACCTTTCCATAAAGAAAACTGTAGGCCCAGACAGTTCCACTGACAAGTGCTACAAAACCTTTAAGGAAGAAATACTGTCAACTCTCTCTATATAAACTCCCTAATAAAGTAAAAAAAGAGAATACTTCCCAACTCATTCTGGAAGGCAAGAAATGCCCTGATATCAGAAATAAGACAAAGATATTACAAAAGAGGACACTCCAACCTGTATCACAAACATAATATATCCATGAACATAGAATACAAATAGAACCTAACATTATATGGCAGATAATATATCCTAACCAAGGGGCCTTATCTCAGGAATAAGCAGTCAACAAATACAATCCATCATATTTAAAAAGAAGAAATTATGACCATCTCTCTAGATGCAGAAAAAATGTGGGAAAACCTACCAGACCCCCCACCCCAAAAAAAAAACTACTAGAAAATTAGGTAGAGTGGAACTTCTTAAACCTGAGAAAAAGACACCAGCAAAAAAACTCTGCATACTTCTATTAGGAATAAGACAGGGATGTCCACCCTCATCACTTCTGTCCAATGTTGTAATGGAGATGCTAGCCAGTGCAATCAGACAAGAAAAGGGAAAAACATGTATCAGAACTGGAAAAGGAGTAGCAAAACTGTCTTTATTAGCAGAAAACATGAATATACATGTAGAAACAACAAAACCAAACCAAAACCCCCTTGAAAATCCTTAGTAGAACAAATAAGCTTAGCAAGGTTACAAAACACAAAAGAAATTATATTTATACACACTGCGATGAAAATTAGAAATTGAAATTTAAAAAATATCATTTGCAATAGCATAAAAATATGAAATGCTTGGGGGTAAATCTGGCAAAAGAAGTAAGCTATATTCTGTTTGTGGGTTTGAAGACTCTATATTAAGATGTCAGTTCTGCTTCAAATCAATCTGTGCATTATACACAATCATATTCAAGATCCCAGCAGAAACACGTAAACTGATTTTGGAGAAACACATAAACTGATTCCAAAATTCATGTGAAAATTCAAAGGACCTACAATAATTAAAACAACTTAAAAATGAAGAAGGTGTTGGGACTGGGGATGTGGCTCAAGCGGTTGCGCACTCGCCTAGCATATGCGGTGTGCTGGGTTCGATTCTCAGCACCACATAAAAATAAAATAAAGATGTTTTGTCCACTGGAAAACTAAAAAATAAAAAAATAAAGAATGTGGTTGAAGTACTAACACTAATTTCAAGTCTTGGTACAAAGCTGCAGTAATCAAGACTGTGGTCCAGTGTGTAGATGAAAAAATATAGATTAATCATATATCTATGGACAATAGATTTTTTTGTCCAAGGTGCAAAAGCAATCAGTGGAGAAAGAACAGTCTTTTCAAAGAATGATTCTGGAACAATCAGATATCCATATAAGATATCCACCTCAAT